CTACCCTAGCTTTCAAAGTCTCTTCTAGGGTAGACCGGTCCAAAACTGTCATCGTCTCTTTCTCTCTCTCTCTCGTAAAAAAAATATATCATATTTATATAGATATGAAATGTATTTATGTAGATGCCTCACCTATAGAGGACACATATTTCTCATTGAGTATTATAACAAATAAGATATTTTCTTTGGAAAGACAATTTAACAGTTCATAAATAACCATGTGAAATGTATATAACATGTAAAATATTTTGATAGCACATTGACCCTATCATTTTATCCCAGATTGGTGATATATGGCAGAGTTTTTTTTCTCTGATTGAACATTATGACATTACACAACAGTATGCGATAAATCATGGGTTTTAATTGTGTTATGTAATGCAAAAATCAAAAATTTTTGAAACTAATTAAGATAAAATAGACACAAAATACTTACTTATTATAGATACTTGAACATGATGATTAGTAATATTAACAAAAATTAACAAAAATAAACTGTTCAATGTAATTATGATATCCTAGAATAGTTTGTATTGAATTATAAAGTCAGATAGAATTTGATTAGATTAGTAAAATGAACAGATAAATTAAAAATCAGTGGCAGATCCAGTGGCTCAGAGGGCATACACCCCCTTTTAATAGCTACAAAAATAATAAATCTTTTGATTTTTTTTCGCCTCGCTGCGCTTGGCAATAAATATTAGATAACCATTAATTACGCCCCTTTCAAATTTCTGGATAAGCGCCTGAAAAAAAAAATGTCATAAACTGTTACAGATATAAAACTGTTAGAACCTGCAAAAACATGCAGTTCACTGACGTATACTTGGGTTTTTGTTTCAAATTTATGATAACAAATACCTAAGTATGAACAACTATATTGAACACTTTTGAATGATATTGAAATATAAAAGAAGATATTATTATCAAAACGTGTTAATGATGAAAAAAACCTGCTTTACTTTAAAAAATTGAAGCAGTTATGAATACTGTAAACCCTTACGGCCTCTTTTGACGTTAATTGACAATGAGAATGAAGTTATCTATTTAAATTTGGGTGCGTTTGACTAGAAAGTCCTAAAATATTAAAGACTTCTTGAAATTTGAATTCGCAATTACATATACGAATGTAGCTATATCGCTATTTTTATTATTTTTTGTCTGTACTGCACCATGTAATGTATATGATGTATTTTGTTGCATTGATGTCACTTGTAGTATTTGTTTTCATCTTGCGTGGCTCTATGCATAAATGTTGAGTTTATAGGTGTTTCCTTTTTTACTTATTTAACTTTTTTTAATATTTTATTAAGAACTAATAAATTCTTCTCAATCACTCAATAATCCTTAAATGCAATTAGGTAAGAAGTTTGTAAACTTCCATAACCATATGATTTTACACGTAACAACATATCAGTATAATGCTTTTTTAAAAAAAGTTCGAAGTCTTCAAGTAGTAAATCATTTCCCATTTCAAATACACATGCTTTCTCTCATATTCCAAACCTTGTTTCTTTTGTTTTGTATATTTTTCTTTTATTTGTCTTTTTTGAATTTTTTCTCAGTTATATGTGATGACGTGTGTGGTTGTTGTGATTTATATATTTCGTTTTGCTGCCTTATTATATGTATTATGATTTCTATGATAAAACCCAATGGGTAATTGTATAGAACAATATAGGGCAGCTGTCGGGTTATTTAACTTATGTAGATGCACTTTTAGACTCGGCAGCTTTAACTCACGAACTAGTGATAGCTCTTTAAAAGAAATATTACTTACTCTACCAATTTCAGATGCTCGTTACTCGTCGTCTCTCTCTCACTTCTCCAGAGTTTAAATCCGAATATAGATATAGTTTTTCTGCTATTTGTTTTAAATGTCATCCTAATTATAGGAAATATTGAGACTAATCCAGGTCCGAATACAGATATTGTAACTGACTCTACTAGTATAAATGAAACCTCACTATCCATATGTAACATAAACATACGTAGTCTACGAAATAAGCTTAATTTTCTCCAAAACTTTACTGACGAATTTGATATATTAACTATAACTGAAACTCATTTGGATCCAAGTGTTAACATTGACGATTTGCAGCTTTCCTCATTTTCAAAGAATATAATCCGAAAGGATCGTAACAGTGCCGGCGGAGGCATTGTCATCTATGTAAAGGATGATATATCCGTCGTACGTAAAGGTGAACTCGAAAACCACATTGATGAGACAATATGGGTAGAGATTAAAGGTAAAGGTCAGTCATTTCTTCTTTGTTGTACTTATAGGCCTGAGTGGACGGACAATGACTATTGGACAAGACTTAATTATTCGCTGGGATTGAGTTACCAACTAAGCGAGAATATTGTGATAACAGGAGATTTGAACTCTGACTTATTTTCAATCCATAATAATAAATTATATGATACAATGAATCTTTTTAATTTAGAAAATGTAATAAATAAACCGACAAGGGTGACTGGACACAATAGCACATCACTAGACCCGATAATAATCAGCGACACAATTGAATATTCTGTTGCCGACGTACTTAAATTACCGTCGGAAATAAGTGATCACGATGCTTCTTTAATATTTTTAGAATGTCCGAGATTTGCATCCAAATCATTCAAAAGAGAAATTTGGTTGTACGATATAGCAGATTTTAAAAAAATTTCTTCCGGACTTGATTCTGTCAGTTGGGATGCATTTTTTAGCTCACCTGGCCCAAAGGGCCAAGTGAGCTTTTCTCATCACTTGGCGTCCGTCGTCCGTCGTCGTCCGTCGTCGTCGTCCGTTAACTTTTACAAAAATCTTCTCCTCTGAAACTACTAGGCTAAATTTAACCAAACTTGGCCACAATCATCATTAGGGTATCTAGTTAAAAAAATGTGTCCGATGACCCCGCCTGCCAACCAACATGGCCGACATGGCTAAAAATAGAACATAGGGGTAAAATGCAGTTTTTGGTTTATATCTCTGAAACTAAAGCATTTAGAGCAAATCTGACATGGGGTAAAAATGTTCATCAGGTTTAGATCTATCTGCCCTGAAAATATTCAGATGAATCAGACAACCCGTTGTTGGATTGCTGCCCCTGAATTGGTAATTTTAAGGCAATTTTGCAGTTTTTGGTTATTATCTTGAATATTATTATAGAAAGGGGTAAACTGTAAACAGCAATAATGTTCAGCAAAGTAAGATCTACAAATAAGTTGTCATGACCAAATTTGTCAGTCGACCCATTTAGGAGTTATTGCCCTTAATAGTAAATTTTTAACAATTTTTCGTAAATTTTTGTAATCTTTTTCAAAAATCTTCTCTAAAACTACTGATACAAATTTAACCATACTTGGCCATAATCATTATTAGGGTATCTAAGTTTAAAAAATATGTCCGATGACCCCGCCTTCCAACCATCATGGCTGACTTGGTTAAAAAAGAACATAGGGGTAAAATGCAGTTTTTGGTTTATATCTCTGAAACTAAAGCATTTAGAGCAAATCTGACGGTGGCAAAAATGTTCATCAGATTTAGATTTATCTGCCCTGAAATTTTCAGACGAATCCGACAACCCATTGTTAGGTTGCTGCCCCTGAGTTAGTCATTTTACAAAAATTTTGCAGTTTTTTGTTATTATCTTAGATATCATTATAATATCTAATATCTAATACTATTAATTATGATTTTAACCTTATTTTACATGATCCAAAGCATCAGTAAATACAGGTGAGCGACACAGGCTCTTGAGAGCCTCTAGTTTCTGATGTTGAGGATGTCGACGAGATGTGCAATACATTTACTCAAAAAATCCTTGACATCGCAAGGCAGAGCATCCCAACTCGACATGTTTATATACGAAACAATGACAGACCATGGTTTGACAACGAGTTAAGGAAAGAAATCCACAGAAGAGATCAATTTCGTAAAAAAGCCTTAAAAACTAAAAAAGATTCTGACATTAATAAATACAAAAAGCAGAGGAATAAAGTAAATTATTTGAAAAAAGCTGCAAAAGAAAAATTTGAAAGAAGGTTGGATAATATCATCTTAAATAACGTGGCTAACCCCAAAACTTATTGGAAGATAATGAAAATGCTTATTAAATCCAATAAGGGTTTTGGTGATTTACCACCACTTAATAATATTATTCACGGTGAAAGTATGGAAGATGTAGTGTACGGAGACGACGAGAAATGTAATCTGTTGAATAAATATTTTAGTCTAATTTCTTCCCTAGAGGAGGAAGGTGTTCCCATCCCTGAAGTTGAACCAAGAACCAATATTATTTTAAATTATTTAGTAATTGAAAAATATGAAATAGTTGATATAACTAAAATTTTAGATCCTAATAAGCCATCTGGTCCAGATGTCATAAGTCATAAAATGCTGAAAATGTGTCCTGAAAAAATAGCAATTCCTTTAAAAATAATATTTAATAAATCCCTACAACAATGTAAATATCCCACCAGCTGGAAGACTGCAAATGTAATTGCTTTTTTCAAAAAGGGAGATAGTTCGCTACCATCTAACTATAGGCCCATATCGCTTATAAGTTGTGTAGGGAAAATAATGGAGCGAGTTGTTTATAAACATGTCTTCAATCACCTACATAGAAATAAGTTAATATATGAATACCAGTCTGGTTTTCTTCCAAAATGTTCAACAGTTCACCAGCTTTTTGAAAAAAAAACTGTATTTTAAATTCACTAGAAAATAAAGAAATTAGCTGTTTCGTTTTCTGTGACTTTTCTAAAGCTTTTGATAAAGTTTGGCATCAAGGATTGCTATATAGAATGAAGTCATACGCTGTGGACGGGAAATTATTGAATTGGTTTAAAAGTTACCTGAACAACAGACAACATCGAGTTGTTATTAAACAATCGTCGTCAGAGCTTTGCAGTATTTCAGCTGGTGTCCCACAGGGTTCTGTTTTGGGACCGCTCTTATTCATTATTCATATTAATGATATTGCTGAAAATCATATTTCTTCTCTTTTCAGCTTTGAGAATGATTTAACAACGCTTAAACATGTATATATGCAGTCTTTTCCTGGTAAGTTGTTATCATAAGGTTAATAAGGACAATTGTTTTTTTTAATCTTTAGTTAGGATAAATTCTTTGTTTTCCTCAGAACGAATATAATAGTCTATTATAGAACTGTGCTTTCCTGTTCATGATTAGCTCTACCCCAGCTTTTAAAGTCTCTTCTAAGGTAGGCCGGTCCAAAACTGTCCTCGTCTCTTTCTCTCTCTCTCTCGTAATTTTTTTTTATCATATTTATATAGACATGAAATGTATTTATGTAGATGCCTCACCTATAGAGGACAAATATTTCTCATTGAGTATTATAACAAATAAGATATTTTCTTTGGAAAGACAATTTAACAGTTCATAAATAACCATGTGAAATGTATATAACATGTAAAATATTTTGATAGCACATTGACCCTATCATTTTATCCCAGATTGGTGATATATGGCAGAGTTTTTTTTCTCTGATTGAACATTATGACATTACACAACAGTATGCGATGAATCATGGGTTTTAATTGTGTTATGTAATGCAAAAATCAAAAATTTATGAAACTAATTAAGATAAAATAGACACAAAATACTTACTTATTATAGATACTTGAACATGATGATTAGTAATATTAACAAAAATTAACAAAAATAAACTGTTCAATGTAATTATGATATCCTAGAATAGTTTGTATTAAATTATAAAGTCAGATAGAATTTGATTAGATTAGTAAAATGAACAGATAAATTAAAAATCAGTGGTAGATCCAGTGGCTCAGAGGGCATACACCCCCTTTTAATAGCTACAAAAATAATAAATCTTTTGATTTTTTTTTCGCCTCGCTGCGCTTGGCAATAAATATTAGATAACCATTAATTACGCCCCTTTCAAATTTCTGGATAAGCGCCTGAAAAAAAAAATGTCATAAACTGTTACAGATATAAAACTGTTAGAACCTGTTCTAAAACTTAACTGTTTTTCTTATCTAGTTTGAGCTGTTGAAATAATTGCTATACAATGTATATTGACTTTCCGTCGTTAATACCATAAACACGTTTGTCTGAACTTGAGAATTTTAGTAGTAGATAGATGGTCTAATCCAACAAAAGCTTTTTTCTTTGTTTTTGTTTTAGTTATCTGAATAATGTCATTCAACTGCTAGTTACATCATTTATCCAACACACTCTCTTTCCCCTGTTCACTTGGACATACAATTGCAACTTATTTCTTTTTCCCACTAATATTAATTATTCCAGGCTTGACAATTCAAGTATAATTATCAAACTCGTATTGTGACGATGTCTGTTTAAGTTCCTAAGTGACTAAATACATTTGAAAAAAACACATAATATGTGATACCCCCCTTTTTTTAAACTGGATATAACAGTGAAAATTTGTACCCTTTAATAAAAAAATAAAAACTTTATTCACATTTAATGCTTTTTTCTCACCTAAATAAAATCAATACAAATAATCTAAATTTAATAAAACATTTTTTTGTAAACCCGATAGAGTTTACTGCTGTGATGATAAATGTAATATGACTTCTTTTTGTTGAAAAATTCAGATGCCTCCACCTTTAAAGATTTATGTAAACAAAATGTTATAACCATGCAAAAACATGCAGTTCACTGACGTATACTTGGGTTTATGTTTCAAATTTATGATAACAAATACCTAAGTATGAACAACTATATTGAACACTTTTGAATGATATTGGAATATAAAAGAAGATATTATTATCAAAACGTATTAATGATGAAAAAACCTGCTTTACTTTAAAAAATTGAAGCAGTTATTAATACTGTAAACCCTTAGGGCCTCTTTTGACGTTAATTGACACTGAGAATGAAGTTATCTATTTAAATTTGGGTGCGTTTGACTAGAAAGTCCTAAAATATTAAAGACTTCTTGAAATTTGAATTCGCAATTACATATACGAATGTAGCTATATCGCTATTTTTATTATTTTTTGTCTGTACTGCACCATGTAATGTATATGATGTATTTTGTTGCATTGATGTCACTTGTAGTATTTGTTTTCATCTTGCGTGGCTCTATGCATAAATGTTGAGTTTATAGGTGTTTCCTTTTTTTACTTATTTAACTTTTTTTAATATTTTATTTAGAACTAATAAATTCTTCTCAATCAGTCAATAATCCTTAAATGCAATTAGGTAAGAAGTTTGTAAACTTCCATAACCATATGATTTTACACGCAACAACATATCAGTATAATGCTTTTTTAAAAAAAGTTCGAAGTCTTCAAGTAGTAAATCATTTCCCATTTCAAATACAAATGCTTTCTCTCATATTCCAAACCTTGTTTCTTTTGTTTTGTATATTTTTCTTTTATTTGTCTTTTTTGAATTTTTCCTCAGTTATATGTGATGATGTGTGTGGTTGTTGTGATTTATATATTTCGTTTTGCTGCCTTATTATATGTATTATGATTTCTATGATAAAACCCAATGGGTAATTGTATAGAACAATATAGGGCAGCTATCGGGTTATTTAACTTATGTAGATGCACTTTTAGACTCGGCAGCTTTAACTCACGAACTAGTGATAGCTCTTTAAAAGAAATATTACTTACCAATTTCAGATGCTCGTTACTCGTCGTCTCTCTCTCATTTCTCCAGAGCTTAAATCCGAATATAGATATTGTTTTTCTGCTATTTGTTTTAAATGTCATCCTTATTATAGGAAATATTGAGACTAATCCAGGTCCGAATACAGATATTATAACTGACTCTACTAGTATAAATGAAACCTCACTATCCATATGTAACATAAACATACGTAGTCTACGAAATAAGCTTAATTTTCTCCAAAACTTTACTGACGAATTTGATATATTAACTATAACTGAAACTCATTTGGATCCAAGTGTTAACATTGACGATTTGCAGCTTTCCTCATTTTCAAAGAATATAATCCGAAAGGATCGTAACAGTGCCGGCGGAGGCATTGTCATCTATGTAAAGGATGATATATCCGTCGTACGTAAAGGTGAACTCGAAAACCACATTGATGAGACAATATGGGTAGAGATTAAAGGTAAAGGTCAGTCATTTCTTCTTTGTTGTAATTATAGGCCTGAGTGGACGGACAATGACTATTGGACAAGACTTAATTATTCGCTGGGATTGAGTTACCAACTAAGCGAGAATATTGTGATAACAGGAGATTTGAACTCTGACTTATTTTCAATCCATAATAATAAATTATATGATACAATGAATCTTTTTAATTTAGAAAATGTAATAAATAAACCGACAAGGGTGACTGGACTCAGTAGCACATTACTAGACCCGATAATAATCAGCGACACAATTAAATATTCTGTTGCCGACGTACTTAAATTACCGTCGGAAATAAGTGATCACGATGCTTCTTTAATATTTTTAGAGTGTCCGAGATTTGCATCCAAATCATTCAAAAGAGAAATTTGGTTGTACGATAAAGCAGATTTAAAAAAAAATTCTTCCAGACTTGATTCTGTCAGTTGGGATGCACTTTTTTCTGATGTTGATGATGTCGACGAGATGTGCAATACATTTACTCAAAAAATCCTTGACATCTCAAGGCATAGCATCCCAACTCGACATGTTTATATACGAAACAATGACAGACCATGGTTTGACAACGAGTTAAGGAAAGAAATCCGCAGAAGAGATCGATTTCGTAAAAAAGCCTTAAAAACTAAAAAAGATTCTGACATTAATAAATACAAAAAGCAGAGGAATAAAGTAAATAATTTGAAAAAAGCTGCAAAAGAAAAATTTGAAAGAAGCTTGGATAATATCATCTTAAATAACGTGGCTAACCCCAAAACTTATTGGAAGATAATGAAAATGCTTATTAAATCCAATAAGGGTTCTGGTGATTTACCACCACTTAGTAAATTAAATATTATTCACGATGAAAGTATGGAAGATGTAGTGTACGGAGACGACGAGAAATGTAATCTGTTGAATAAATATTTTAGTCTAATTTCTTCCCTAGAGGAGGAAGGTGTTCCCATCCCTGAAGTTGAACCAAGAACCAATATTATTTTAAATGATTTAGTAATCGAAAAATATGAAATAGTTGATATAATTAAAATTTTAGATCTTAATAAGGCATCTGGTCCAGATGTCATAAGTCATAAAATGCTGAAAATGTGTCCTGAAAAAATAGCAATTCCTTTAAAAATAATATTTAATAAATCCCTACAACAATGTAAATATCCCACAAGATGGAAGACTGCAAATGTAATTGCTTTTTTAAAAAAGGGAGATAGTTCGCTACCATCTAACTCTAGGCCCATATCGCTTATAAGTTGTGTAGGGAAAATAATGGAGCGAGTTGTTTATAAACATGTCTTCAATCACCTACATAGAAATAAGTTAATATATGAATACCAGTCTGGTTTTCTTCCAAAATGTTCAACAGTTCACCAGCTTTTAGAAATTTACAACTGTATTTTAAATTCACTAGAAAATAAAGAAATTAGCTGTTTCGTTTTCTGTGACTTTTCTAAAGCTTTTGATAAAGTTTGGCATCAAGGATTGCTATATAAAATGAAGTCATACGGTGTGGACGGGAAATTATTGAATTGGTTTAAAAGTTACCTGAACAACAGACAACATCGAGTTGTTATTAAATAATCGTCGTCAGAGCTTTGCAGTATTTCAGCTGGTGTCCCACAGGGTTCTGTTTTGGGACCGCTCTTATTCATTATTTATATTAATGATATTGCTGAAAATTTTATATCTTTATGTAGATTATTTGCAGATGACACATCTTTCAGCTACTCTAGTCGTGACACGTCACAAATAAAATCAGTGGTCAGTCACGACCTGAGTGAGCTGAGCGATTGGTCTAAGAAATGGCTGATGTCCTTTAACCCAGAAAAAACAGAAATTATGTTGTTTTCATACATTGAAACTCCTGAAATGAATTTCATATTCAATGGTAAGAATATTAAAGTTACAGATTTTCATAAACACTTGGGTGTTACATTTAGTAGAGATGCTAAATGGAACACTCATGTGGAAAGTATCATAAAAAATGTATCGAAACATTTGAATGTACTTAGAAAACTAAAGTACAGATTAAGTAGAAATAACTTAGAAAAGCTATACTTGACTTTTATAAGACCGTTACTCGAATACGCCTGTGAAGTTTGGGATAATATGGGTGTGGGTTATAGTAACAAATTAGAGCAGCTGCAGCTTGAGGCAGCCAGAATTGTAACAGGTCTTCCTATTTTTACTAGTAGTAGAATTATTTATGATGAGATTGGTTGGGAAACTCTAGCTGAACGAAGAGAAAGGAGGAAGTTACAATTATTTTATAATATTCAACATAATAATGCACAAGCCTATCTTTTCAATTTAATTCTACCAACAATCCAAAGTACAGCTGTTTACCCCTTACGTAATGGGAATGATATAATATACTCTTCTTGTAGACTTTCATTGACCCAAGAATCCTTCATACCTTCAACTATACGACTGTGGAATAACCTTAATGTGCTGACCCGCAACATTGACTCTTTAGGTAAATTCAAAACTGAATTAAAAAATCTTAAACTGAATTCAAAAGCCCAAGTACCCAAACATTATAAATTTGGCAATCGTAAACTCAACATCATTTTGACTCAACTTAGATGCTCAGCCTCGTTTTTGAATTATGATCTTAACAGAGTTAATATAATTTCAGATCCGTCTTGTAGCTGTGGTGCTAAGCGTGAAGATTCATTTCACTTCTTTTTTGAATGTCCTAATTATACGAATATAAGAATCAAACTATCTAATAATCTGAACTAGTTACCAGAGAACTCTCTATTAAATTTGAACATCTTAACCTCCGGTGATTCGTCATTAACTAATGATGAAAATGAAAGAATTTTAAAGAATGTATATGAGTTTATTAAAGAGTCACATCATCACACATCATCTTTTACATATCCAATATATACAATGTATTGTTTGCATGCATGCTTTGTAAAAAATTCTATTGTTATAAATTGTTCATGGGAGAAGACTTCATAAGTTTGATTAACTTGTGTCTCATCCCTTTTGCATATTTAAGCAAATAAAATATGTTTAAACTAAACCTGTTCTAAATATGAACTGTCAAAAAATGTTTTTTTAGCTAAAACTTTTCGAATCTTTTCGAAAGTAGAACTGTCTAAATTCTAGTTCGGAAAAACTTCCTAGAGTAGATTTGTCCAACTATGTTCTAAGCTTGAACCACTTCTGTCAAACACTTTTTTTCGCTGTCATATTTGTTATGTAATACGTGTATTTAAATGAAAACATTCCCGTCTTACACCACGTACGAACAATAAGCCGGCGACAAATAAGGTGTTTTCCAAAGTTTTTATGTTAGATTAGATAAATAAATAGCTAATCAGATTTGTCTATGTGCAAATTTGTTGCATGTGTTGTTGCTAATGAAAATGATTGTCAGTATCTATAGATTGCAATGGACGTTCCATGTTATTGTAGTGCGTGGTTTATATGCATGATCACTTGGACGCGTTTTTCTTATTGTTCGCTGGCTTATTGTTCGTTAGCTTGATACATCTAATTTTTCAGGGCTTATTTTTGATTCAGCCATGCTGGATCTATGCGATCACTCTGTTTTTGGAGATGGTGCAGAATACTAAGTTGAAGACATGTCATGAAACTAATTATGTGTGTTTATGACTTGCAGAAACTTTCTACACCATTTTAATCATCAACTGCCAACTTTTGACATGTTATTCGCCCTTAAATTAAGAAAAGATTTGGTCAAACAACCTTTTTATTTTAGATATGCACTTGCTTATAGTTCCTTTGTAAACTAAAATTTATAATGATTTACTATTTATGAAATAAATTGAAAAAGTATTTTTACATCAATTGAATCAGTTGATAACAATTTTGAAAGTATTATATTATTATCTTATGCTTGTGTAAGTTTTTGTTCTATGAAATTTAGGTCAACATGTGTGTTAATATATATAGGTTGATTCCCACACTTTTTTGAAATGGTATTACTCCAATTCTTTCCATAGGCAAGTAAGAGTCAGTATGATTATAAACTGTCATGATTTTCAAATAATTACACTCAAAGGTGTAAGTATTTATTGGAAACAACCCCAGTCTTAATTCACCACATTTAATATCTCATGACCTGTTACATAATTAAATAGGCACAATTTATTACACACCTAACTGAATACACACATTCTTGACCTCAATAGTAAACCTACAAATGTATTATTTATTTTGATCTACACTACATTAAAATATTCTGTCAATTTTGCTAGCTAGCTGAATGATTAATCAGACGTGGTTTTTTTTCAAAGAAAAGACAAAAAATGTAAAAATATGTATAAAAAATGTAAGCAAATTTTATTTCACTTGTAACATCAGTGTCATTATCATCTGACATAATTCAACAATCAAGATCTAATTAATTAGTCACAATTATCAGAAATTTGGTTGAAACAATAAACAAAATTGCTTAACTCTTACCTGAGCATTTTCTGCAATAAAATTTTTTGTTTGTTCTACATTTATATCCCATTATATTGCTATTTAACAGTGATTGGAAATATCTCAGCATTAGGTATTTGTACATTTAAATTTGAATACAGGAAATGTATTTTTTCTTGATGAAGAATGAACACCAATTTAGATTAAAATTAGTTATTATTTTTTGTTGTTGAGAAAGTGTATTTCCAAGGCCTCTCTCTTTCTGGAAATTATTAAGCCAGTTATAATTAATGGCATATAAAAAAATGTATTACTTGTTTGACGATTTCCCTTTCCATTCATGTCAATACCATTAAATTGCAAATATTTATATAAAAAAAAATCTGACAGTCTAAAATTGAAATATCAATATATATATATATCATTATTTACATCAATATTGCGAAATTTCCTACCTGTGGGCAATAACATAGAAATTAAACAGTAAGATTGGAAATGAAATGAGAGAAAATTTTGAAAAAAGCATGGTCAGAAAGAATATCAGACTAGCTATGAATATGGCTGGAACACAACATCGACGATGCTTTGATTTTTTTTAGACTGGTTGTTTAACCATGTCTAACATACTAGACTTGAATCAAAGAACATGATATGTTTAAGGTACTGTACGCCATTTGTACATCCGAAATTGCACTTTACTACATGTTTTTTTCAGATTATATCATTATGGAAGCTCTCTGAATCCAGTTTCAGCTTTCATTGTCCTGTTCAGTCGCACTGGAAACATATAGCAGAAAAGAGTTGTGGTTCTGTGGACGGTTACTTCTGCTTGTTTAATCGAAACGAACATTATTTTACTGAATTTTGTAGAAAACACCCAGATTTCGAAGCACCAGGTAAGCTTTCTCGTTTGCACATTATCTATATATATATGTAATATTACTGTATGAACTATACACTTTTTCTTAAAACAATGTTCTACATCAAATTATCAATGCAATCTTTTCTTTAGACATTTTTGATATTTCCAAAATTCCCCCAAGATATAACATATTAAATGATGATGAAATCTCATATCTACATGTATGGTCAAATTATCTAAGTTCACTCTATTATAACATAGTGTTGGCAATGGCAACGGGATCATTTCTATGTATTGGTTTTACCTGCCTTTTACTAGTTACTAGTATTTGTATTTGATAGGACAAAAACTTATAGTTGCTGGGTCATCTAATGGAACACTGCAAGGCGCTGATTGTAATGCTGAATTCTACCAACCTTTCAAATTCCTGTCCTCTGGAAGCAGTCGATGTGTTTACGAGAAATCTTACTGCAGTGGGGAGGGACTAGTCACTTCTAGTAATGGTACATTGGAAAATGATAGATCATGCCGCTGTGATTATACCAGAGGATATGATTTTATAGTTCAACCAAAACATCGATGTTATTGTGTACCATCCGAGGAAGATTGTTCCTGTCATCTTAAGATATGTCCATCTAACTACATTTTATCACCAGGTACATCATGTTCATGTATGCAAGTAAATTAATTGTAATTTTTCTTAGAACATTTCTATCCAAATATTTCGACCTACTTCGCATATGATGTTGACATATATGCTTTTAATTCCGCTTCTAAAACTAGATAAATAATGATTGCAATGATAACGGGAAAATGTTGCGCTAAGTTTATTTTTCTTTGAAGAGGTTTGAAAAGGAATGACAAAATTTGATATAACTAAAAACGGGTGAATGAATATGTACGTAAAGAATGCACCTCTGTCAACTTATTACATATATATCCCAAGAGTCAACTAGTCAATAAAGTAGGGACGTGTCAATGTTTGGTAAATAACTATGAAATTTTGGAATCTTCAAAGTTCGAACAGTTAATCATCTCAAGAGTCCAAAAATAAACGCCAAAAAATCTTCACGCAAAGCATAATAGATAAAATACATTAGAGTGATCCTTGACTGCCAGTGTTGTATTGGAATAGAGGCGGGTTCATTTTTGTGTCTTTGCAACAATAGCAGGTAACTATATTAACTTAATGTTCCGTACTTATAACATTTATAAAGTATTGATCAGACAACGACCATTTGCTACGAGGTAAACCAATGACACGTCTCACCATTTACGAACATAACACTGAGAGTCTTTTTAGTACCAGCAATGTTTGTCTTGCATGAGACGACATAAGTATGTTGATCCAGTGGCGACAGAGGCGGCAGTGTTAACTATTTATATAAAGCTTTATATATTAGAAAAAGAAGACTTGGATGTTTCGTACCTTGTATAAAATTGTCTTATGTAAAGAAGTTTCCGTCTGTCATATTTTCTTAGTCCTTGACCTCATACTGTATGGTTCAGCGACTGCAATTGTGCAATATGAATGTCTTACTTACTAAGAGTAATAGGATATAATATTTGGTATATGAGATCCTTTCAAGGGTTACATGTCCGTTAGATATTGTTCACATGACCACGACATCATTTTGTCGACAAGTGATCCAGGTTAAAGCTCATGGTCAAGTGGAAGAATTGCACGAGGCCGGATGCGAAGATTATCGCTATTCATTAGTTTGGTGATCTAAATTTGTCATGTCTAATGGCAAAGAGACACCAGGCATTTCAGACTTACATGTCCATTTAGCAGAGTTCATCTGACCTTGACATTATTTACAAGAATCATAGTGACACTTATCTTTAAGAATTTGAACATTAAATCCATCATGACTAGTAAAAGCCTGTGAGACATTTCGGCGTGTGCAATCTTGTTTTAAATGCTCAAAGTTACTTATAGTGTATTATATATTTAATTATCTTATTTTACTTTTTTAAAGATTATGAGTGTCTTAATGAGAATGAGTGGAAACCGAGCTTTTACTGTGATTCAATATCAACGGTCGTGTGAGTATATCCTGTAGCATATCCAGAGATAATCATGATAGGTTACCAAGGTTTCAATGCAGTGTAACATCGCATACATTTTGGTCAACTGTATATACCATTACGTATAAAATGTATCATATGGACAAACTTCATATTCATGTCATGGCGGGAAATAGGGGACGACATGTTTATTGTTTTGGGTACAGTATGTTTAGTGTATGAAATGCCTATATGAACCTAATAATATAACAATTTTACCCACAATGCAGTTCTTTCATGTTAAAAGATAAGTGTCGAGTTATTTTCCATTAAACCTGCATTTTGTTACAAAGTTTCGAATAACTGTTTACGTTATTTTGAATCATTTTGAAAAAAAACCAATTTGCTTATTGAAAATACATGAAATCTGTTTGGTACACAATTAAAGATTATGTGTACTCCTTACTCCCAGTAACACAATCAGTTATTGAAAATTTTGTAACTCGGCACGTGTTATTAAGACTGTTTTGGCAGATTTTGCAGAATTCAAGAAGCTTGAAGTACCTAGTCCTTAACCAAATACGTACAGTAAGACACAATTATTTCATAGACAGGTGATGCTTTTTGATTTTCGAATTCAAGGGCGAAACGTGGCATACTAGGGCTTTCTCCTTAAACAATACTAGGATACACAATTGTTTTGAATTAAAATTGTTTTCTACCCGAGGCAAATTCAGCTTGTTACTGTCATATAAGAGTCATATAATAAAGATCGACCCATTCACACTTAAAAGTCAAACACATTCATTAACATAATTTCTTGAAATTAACCAGAGTCTATGAATGTTGTGAACAAATTTACCAAAGACTATCAAAGATCTGAAATTGACACCAAGTATCTAAAATCCCCCACAAAATCTCATAAATTTTAAGTTACATTACCATATTGACACATCATGACTGGAACTTCTACATTTTCTACAGTTTGCACATTTTGAAAGGATCGTGTCCACGGGGCTTAATACCCCTATCATGCCTATGTTGTATTTTATATCTTCACAATTTCTATTTTACATTTACTAATTGATTAACAAAAGTACATGATATGCTAAATGAAAGAATGCCCCTCAGCAATCTGATACCGGTCGCTAGAATTTAGGGTAAATCTCTTATAGTAACATAAACAATAGTTCCAGAAAAATGTGTGCAATGGCCAAAACAGAATTGTACAACATTTCTATGTAAAAAAACTAAACGAAACTTTTCCTAAATCTGAAAGTCTTCCGAGCATATTTCCAAATGTAATGAATTATTAAAACTATAAGAAAAAAGGAAACAAACAATAAATAAAAAAAACAAAACCATACTCCGAGGAAAATTCAAAACGGAAAGTCCCTAATCAAATGGCTAAATCAAAAGCTCAAACACATCAAACGAATGGATAATAACTATCATATTCTTGACTGGGTACAGGCATTTTTTTATGTAGAAAATGGTGGATTAAACCTGGCTGTATAGCTAGCTTAACTCTCACTTGTATGACAGTCGCATAAAATTCCATTATCTTGACAACAATGTGTGAACAAAACAAATAGACATACTAGGTAAAAATGACAAAAAAGGGGTACAGCAGTCAACATTGTGTTATAATCTTAATCACTATAAAACAAACAAATATGTCAAGAAAGAAAAACAAAAAGGCATATAGACAAGGCACATAAGCAAAAACGAAAGACAAGAATACAAAAATTTACCATACCACATTAACACTAATATATATATATAACCTTGAATATAACCTTTATCAAGAAGAATTATATGGGATACATGCACGGTGACCAAGAAAAAGAATTTGTGACCATGCTTGCAGATACGATAAGACAAAATTACTTACTTTCCATTTTTTTGGCAAAGTTATAAATGAACAATTTACTAAGCTCACAATACACGTAATTACTTAAATAATACAAATTATATATATGTAGATAAACATGATACGTGTGTATGACTAGTCGAACCATGACACATTTGATCATTCAGCTTTGTAATTACAGTAATGAAGACCTTGCAGTTTAATTGTATTAGTAAACATAAATTATTGTTCATTCAACAGCTACCGTAATCCCAGAAAACTATAAAAAGCAGGTTTTGTTAAAATGTTTTTGTTCTAGGAACGGCCGATTAAGAGTTTGGTAAATTATATGGGCACACCTACTTGTTGTTGACGATCAAATGAAGACCTGTAGATGTGTGTTGGTCTAATTGTTGTCAGGATTGTCTCTCATTGTCTCATATTTATCCCGTAACCTATTATATTGTGTATACATTCTATATTTGTATCCTTTTTTATAAGGTTGCCCAAAGAGCCGGAAATACCATTATCGACTGACAATTCATCGTTGGAGGCTTATATACTAGGTATGTAGATCGTACATTAAAGGAGCATTAGCTGTCAAAGTCATGTTCACCTATTTGACTAAAATTCTCATATTTGATTTATAACATACTAAAACGTATATCCAAATTACAAAATTATATCAAATTAAAGAATTCACAATGCATGGACTCGATAATATGTATCAATAGTTCATGTGTATTTTTGTCTAGACGTCATCTAATTAACCACCGAGATGACCTATGAAGACTGCCGACGGTCATATATACCGATATAAACATAAATATAAATAGATAAAAACCACGTGCAAATGGAGTTTTTTAGCTAGGTCTGGTTTAATTTATATTGTAGGTTAAAAAGTATGTTTATCATCGTTTTTACTTTCAATGTTGATATTTTTATCCTGTTAATAGCTAAAATACATGCGTACCCATCTCCAGCTAAGGGGTTAAATTGAAGGTCACATGAATACGGGTTTAATGAGGTCGAATTTTGACAACATTGAACCAAGTTAGCTGCTAAAAAGTAATTATTATTTCACGATTTGACTTTCATTAATGATTTAACAAACAAAAAATCATATTCTAATGTTTTTAACATCTCGTAGCTAATGCCCCTTTAAACTTTTACTCTGAATATTGGTAATAAAACGGTAGGACTCTAACGGAAACAGGTCCTAAAAATAAACATTTTAAAAACAAATACATAAATTTGCAAATTTATCAATTTATGCCTAGGAAAACCAGTTACGCAACCATTATTTTGTTTTGATTTCGATGACTAAATTAATTTTTAACATGACAATAACTGTTAAATAACCCATAAGCTAGTTGAGCAACTATGCACAAAGATTTTCACTTAACATAGTTGATATTCTTTTATTTTTGTTGAAAATATAAAATGTAAACATTGTATTTTATCCAAACTCGATGACATGAATATTATCCTTGGAATATCAACTATGGAAGCGCGAGGTAATTTAGATAAATTGACGGAACGAATTGACAAATATTCCATCGTATTGCTACGATTGCCTCATCAATACAATTCATATTGTTTAATGCTCAAGAAAAAAAATGGACCTGTTTGATTATGTGTTAACAAAGGAAATGTTTGACTTGGCAATTTATTATTTATTTTTTCTTACACCTAACATAGGATACTTCTAGTTAATGTGTATAACCTTATTATGTTTAAATGATTAGTCGCCTTAGTGATGATAATATAGATTAATAAATATTTTTTAGAAGAAAAAAATAAATAATTTATGCTACCTTAAAGTCTTCTTTCTAAAGTGAAACCACCCTCATATCAGTATGTGATCAATTGTGTTCGGCAACTACTAGTAATTATATGTCTGTGAACAAAGTGCCCTCTCCTGAAGTATATTTCTTGAAAGGAAATATAAAAATGCATTTCTTTTAATTTCGATAATTAACCAAAACAATCAGGAAGTACTTCAGATCATAAAAAAAAGCTTTATTTTTTTAACAATGCTCAAACAGTAACTGTAGCAAAAAAGTATAAGATTTCATTTCTTGTATCATGATGGCCTCATTTTCAAACAGTTATTAAACGACTTCAACATTTGTTAAGCGAGTATCAAACACAGTAAGAACATACTCTTTGCTACTCATGCACTGACTGAAATGTGGTATTAATGTGCATCAAATTCTAAAATCAAATCAATGTTCAGTGGTGTTAGCTATAATCCATCAATTATAAACTAAACAAATATGCTAATGTTAGATGATAAGCAAGTAGAAGTACTTGCGCCTATTTAAAAGAATTTATGACTAGAATTTTCGTAACTAACAATTCTGTATAAACGCAGTGTGCTGTTAAAAGATTAGCTTAATTTGGGATTAATTGAAACTATTTATACTTTTTAGCTAATAGAAAAGCTGCATGTGTTGCAGTTCTGGTAGTTTTTATGCTGATGTTATTGTTACCAAGTAAGTATTGGCTTAAACAATGGTTTTATTCTCGCCTGCGACGGGCTTGCCTGCGACGAATACGACGGAAATGTCAGAAATAGAAATGTTCATCTGGCGGCGGCAGCGTAAATAAGCTGTATAAAGCTTTATATCTCAGAAGGTACTATGATACCTTATATTTTGTATACATATGTTTAATGTAATAAACTTTCTGTCTGGCATATAGATGTTGACCTTAACAATATCTTCTTGGTTCAGCGACTGTTTCAAAAATCTGTATCGTCTTTATATCACGTGATACTCTCATTTATTTTTTGTGAAAGGACATTGCATTTCCTATATTCACCGCAAAGTCTGCCTGTCCCTCATGCAAGGTTAAACAGATATCGACCTCACTTCATGGATAAGTTATCAAATTTAAGCCTGATTCTCATATAATATATGAACCCCAAGTGTTACTTGGGGAAATAAGCATGGTCATTCTGAGTCGTCTTCCAACATACAGTAAAACCCTTGTCGAAGTGGGGCGTGTTGTACTGATTGTACACATACGCAGTCACGTCCAGTCAGAATGGAGACGTACAATCCGATGCCTCGTGTAGAGAGAGTGTCATGCTCTTGCACGTTAAGAACCCTTTCAACAACTTTTTGAGGGGTCTGTAGGTGCACAGCAAACTATCTGTCTCTATCCACTAGACCCTAATTTTCTAGTGGCAGTCTAAATTTCCCCGCATCCCGGACAGCCTCTATTAAGAATCTACCTACGGTATTTATTGTTAATTCGTTATCGTCCTGAACTTGCATGAGATAATTGCCACGGGACTTTAAGAAACCAACAATCAATCAATCCTTGAAATCGAAATATATTATTTTGCTTGGTTTTTTGTTGTTTTTTTTCTGTTGTATATACGTTACTCTAATTTAAAAGGGTAGTTTGCTGTTTTGTAACCGGTTATGTTTTGGTATATCCTTAGATGTATCTTTTTTTCTGGTCACTTATCGAAATTAATCATGTAAAGTTGAAGTTTGAATAATCTAGTTGGTCCCTGCTGATATAAATTATCATTGATATGATCAAAATTATAAATTAACTGTTTAACAAACATTAATTTTTTGAAGTACTGAAGAATTTCTACCCCAGAAAAAGCTTACCATAGCTGTATTTGTCAAAACCTTTCGGAATGTCGGGTCCTCAGTGCTCTTCAACTTGGAATGTTTTTGTTTTTTTTTTATTCCAGCTTCACCATTTTTACTGATGAGTCTTTAATAGACAAAACGCGCGTCTGGATGACAAAATGTTAATCCTGGTATCTACAAATGTATGATGAGTGTATAAACATAATCGTGTACCTCTCCCAAGTAAGCAACCGCACCAGTCGCCTATATATGCAATTTATCAATGATGTTTTTTTTTTTTATTTAAATAGCTTAGTGTTTGAGACAGGCCTTTACAAAGTTTCTGTTTAATTTATTCAAACGTCTTCTTTGTCATATAGCTTCTCACGTATTCAAGTGGTCTGCTCTACTATGAGGTAATTTTTGCGATTCCTGTATTGATGTATGATCTTATACATGTTATATTAGAAACACGAATATGAGTAACGTGCAATTTTGCTTCTACTGGCTACCCACTATTTATGATGTTTGATACTTTTAATGTATGAGTACTTTCCTTTATGCATAAACGCAAGTTTTATTCGGTCATATCATTAAATTGTATATTTTAATTCATCATGTTCATGATCAAATTGTACTTCTTTTTTTCAGTAATATTTGTGGTATTGCCTATCCTAGAAGACTGTTTATGCAGAATGAAACGCAAACGCACAGGTTTGTACTTTTAGAAAATCTAAAAAAACAATAATCCCAATTATAGAAATACAGCAGACTTTTTGAGATAATAGTTGGAAGCTTTGTGAAAATCCCTTTGGTATCTTTCGCCTCTCATATGGTTTGATATCATACAACATGCTTAAATATATAATACATTCTTTTTTTGGTAATAAACCAACTGTATATTCATCGCTTATTATTTATAGAAATTACTATACTTTTTTCACTAAATTGTATGTTCCTAAGAAATATCAATGATACGGAAATTTCCCGCTTATAATCTGTACGTATAATGAATAATTATAAAGGAACACTAAGTATTGTATACTACAGGCGTAGATGGACTCAGCCAGATTTGGCACAAATATTTTAGGACTTTTGATTTCAATGGTCCTCAACTTTGTTACTGATTTGGCTTTCTGATTCTTACGATTGGAGCGCCATTGACAAGTCTTTTTTTAGACAAAACACATTTCTGGCTTTCTAAATTATCATCTCTTTGACATTACTAATTCTATAAAACATTTCAGGTGAATTATCTGACCAATAAAGTACAAAAAATGTTACTGAATGTAAAAATGTAAAAAGTTGAAATGAACATAAGTTGCGGGAGTAAGGATACACCGGAATTAGCGATCAAAACATAAACAAAACATAAACAAACAAAACTGCTCAAAATACAGAACAGAAATACGAAAGTTTAACTTTCTAAAATAAACCAGATTCCTCAGAGCTTTAAATAGGTGACAAACGGAATTAAGCATTTGAACTTGACGAAATTCGGTACTGAAAAATTGGCCGTTTTCAATTACAACAACCCAGGGTACCAACTAAATTTCTTGACATTTTTAGCTCACCTGACCGAAAGGCCGAGTGAGTTTTTCTCATATTTTGGCGGTCGTCGTCGTTATCGTCCGTTTACTTTTACAAAAATCTTCTATGAAAATATTGGGTCAAATTTTATCAAACTTGGCTACAATCATTATTGGGATAGTTTTTAAAAAATGTGTTCGATGACTCAGCCTGTCAACCAAGATGGCCGACATGGCTAAAATAGAACATAGGGGTAAAATACAAGTTTTGTCTATCTTGAAAACTGCTATGAATATAGAAAATCTGACAGGGGCAGAAATGTTGAGATCTACCTGCTGTCTCTTTACATCTAAACTGTCAGAGGAGTTATAGCCCTTAAATATCAAATTTTATTAGTTGTTTTCATTTTGTCATTATTTTGAAAACTACATATATGATAAATACAGAAAAGTTTTTATAAGGAAAAATGATTAGCAAGACATGTATAAGATTTACAAATAAGTCAACATGGCAGAAATCTTCAAACAACTCCTTATTGGAGTCATTGCTCTTCACTGACGATTTTTACTATTTTTTGCGTTATTGCCTTATATCTTAAAAACCATAATAGATAGAAAGAAACTTTAATAGCAAAATTATCAACAGGTCAAACAAGATCTACTATTAAGTCAACATGACCGAAATCGTCGGATGGCTTCTTATTGAAGTTATAGCCTTTAGAGAAAGATTTTTCCCTTTCTTTTAATTTTACCTACTATTTTGAAACTGTAATAGATAGATAAAAACTTTATACAGGAAGAAATGATCAGCAGGACAAGATCTACAAATAAACCATTATGGATAAAATTTTTAGTCGACTCGTTATTGAAGTTATTTCTCTTAATTGATGTTTTTACTATTTTTTGGAGTGTCTGCTTTTTGTTTTGGAAAAGTGTATTAGATACAAGTGTAGATTGAAACGTTGAAAAGCAAAAATTAACAGCAGGACAAGATCTACAAATATGTCAACTTGACTGAAATTGTCAATTGACCTTTTATAGAGTAATTGCCCTTTCATGATAAATCTTACCAAACAATGGCTATTGTTGAAGATGCAAGTGAGCGACACAGGCTCTTTAGAGCCGTTAGTTCGACGATGTGGAGATGTTTGTGTTATTAGTTTCCACAGTGATTTTTCTATTCTACTAATTGTTAGCTGTAAAAATCCTGAAAAGTTTTCTTGTTGAAAAACTTTGGGGAAATAGTAACACATTCAGCACAGTTTTTTGTCACCAAAAAACATATAAACATAGTCGTGTACCTCTCCAACGTTAGTAACCGCATAGCAATAGGTTCCAATAAACCGTTAGATAAACCCTAATATGTATATTTTGTTTTATAGAGGTTGACGAAAAGATTGCTTCTCTGATAGCCATTGAAAAATCGAGCTTGGTAAAACAAATTGATGCAATTGATTCTGAAAAACAGGAGTTAAAGGGCAAAATATCCAAACTCGAAGATGATATAGGAAAGGTGCCATATCATGTACTAGGTAAAATATGATTGCACCAGATTGTACACACCTGTAAAGAAATATTACAAAGAAAAAATATTCATTTTTTTTTATATAAACAGCATAGAGGATATTTATGTCTACGTTCAAGTTAATGTGTGTAGTATGTCGAGCTTTAATCTTCTAGGTGGGAAGCGATGTATAAAATTGCATAAGTCATTGAAAAATAGTATACAAGCACATCAAAGTTTAAAGAATCAATATGATGTCAGTCTATTTGACTGTGTATTTGTGTTTCCTATTAACTAGATAACATTTTATAGTGTTTACATATATGAATCGTTATGTAGAAGTGTAGAAATGCAAAGAGTTTGTCATCGACATTCTGACCGTGCGATTGAATGATAAATAGTGTAAGCTTAATCGATGAAAGCATTTATATGGGTTAATGGTTGGAATGATAGTATCTTCTGATCAAAACGGATGATTGTTCGCCTTTTTAGTATAAGAACCTTCAACAATACTCAACTGATGTACTGTAATTTAAATATGCAGAAATATGAGTGAATAAATGCAGTGATCATGAAAATTAAAACAAATCTCAAAAATTAATCCCCCCCCCCTGTATGTAAAACTGGTTTATATCCTTAACCGCTGAATCATTTCTAAAGTGGTATTCATAGTTCAGTAGATGGTAAATTTGTTTTGAAATCAGTTTGTTCAGATATATTGACCTAATAAAGATTCGTATCGACAAATATTCGAGTACCACGAACAAAATTTTCACCGTTCTATCCGAAAGGTCAATAACATAATTCAACCCTGGGTACACAAAGAGTTCGGTCGAGGGACATACATGTAAAAACAACAAATTCTTATCATTACCTCATGTCCGTATACATTGATATGGCAAAGCCATGTTATGAAACAAACTCACCAAAGATATCAGGCTTAAAATATTGTACGCCACATGCGCGTTTCGTATACAAAATACTCATCAGTGACGCTCGAATAAAAAAAAGTTAAAAAGGTCGAAAGGTTTTGCCAAATAAAGCTAAGGAAATCAATACCGTAATCAGATTACATACGCTGCAAATACTAAAATCAAAAAAGTTTCGTATATCATTATACATACTTCTATACAAATGCGTATCGCAAGACATTTCTACCAAAGAAAAATCTGTGTTATACCAATATTGCTTTTTGGGTATGTTTTATCCCACAAAATACAATATTTACATTTTGTTCGTATTATTCTTCTTAATACGTAATATTTACTTTAACTTCACAGAACTGCAAAAGGAAACACTGATGAATTGGTCCAATGAACTTGCTAATTTTTTTGTAACAAAAGCCGCGCAATCCGTATATCAGCGAATCCAGACGGAAAAACTAGTTGCTATTATAGGACCAACAGGGACGGGTAAATCAGCGTGTGCCTATCACATAGCATTAAGATTAAAGAACGAATATGGTTATACAATTGTTTCTGCAAGGCAGCCATCAGACATTACTCAATATTATTTACCTGGTACAAACCAAGTATTCATCATTGATGATTTCATCGGGAAATATGTCTTTGATGTGGCTGAAGCAGTTTCATGGGAAAAAGAAGGTCCATTCCTTCATAAAGTATTAAGTAACAACGATCAAACTAAAGTAATACTAACGTGCAGAAAGTCTATTTGGCATCCTGAAATATGCGAACGCTTTAAATTATCAGCTTTCGTATGCGATTTACATACAAATGAGTTGAGATTAACTCTGTCGGAAAAACGGACCATCTGTGATGCATATCTCGAAAAAAGTGACATAAAAGCTATAACTGACGAAATATTAATGATGTATCCTTTTCTGCCCTCGTTATGTTCGATCTTTTCATCAAAAGACGTTGGTTCAGTAGAAAACTTTTTTACCTTACCCATTCAATTCATAGAACAGGAAATAGATAATTACAAAATGAAATCACCAGAACGTCATATTTCTTTAGCAGTGCTTGCTATTGAACAAAAATTTACTAAACAATCATTTTTTGATAACATTGAAAATGAAGAGTTGATAAAAAACTTGTTTGGAGAATCTGGATCTCAAATGCATCCACCAAAAAAACTTATTATCAGCCATCTCGAGGCTTTGACAGACACATTCGTAAAGGTTAATAATGACTGTTTTGAATTTATCCATCAGACCATGCAAAATATAGTTCTTTACTGCATTGCAAAAACATTTATAATCTCGGTACTAAAGTACTGTAAGAGGGATGTGTTTAAGAATCAGATAAGATTGGCATGTATAAGGGAAGAACAGACCGTTCCTGCTATAAAAGTTATATCGGAACATGAAGAGGCTTATTTTACACGTCTTGCAAGAGAACTTAGCGAAGGACAGTATAGGGATGTTTTCAAAAATAATCAAAATGCCTTTCCAATATTCAGACAGAAATTTATAGCCTTTTTGAACAACGATAGAAAGGGAAATAATTGGAAAACGAATTCAGACGGTTTTACTGTCCTTCATGTTCTTTCATCGTTGGGTTATGGAGATTATGTTGCTTTATTTATGAAGTTTGACAAAGGAATGATTCATAAGACCGATGCAAAGGGAAACACACCTTTGCATTTAGCATCCATGAATGGTCATCTTAATATAGTTAAATTGCTCGTTGAAAATGGTCGAAATGTTCACCTTTTAAACAACGACAGATTATCGCCTTTTTTCTATGCATGTGAAAATGATTTAATCCCCGTTGTGAATTATTTGATCAACTTGGAGGATGACTTTGTTAAGATTAACGAAACATATATGATGAGAGAACACAAAAGTGTTCTTCACATAGCCTGTCAGAAAGGTTCTACCGAACTTATAAAAATACTGCTGGACCATGGCGCTACTGTTGACATACAAGATAAAGGTGGATTAACACCGTTACATTTGACATGCTTAAATGGACAGCATGATACAGCTTCGTTGTTATTAAAGGCTGGAGCAAATGTAAATAGATTGGACAATTTAGGCATGACGCCTGTTTATTATGCATGTACTGGAAATTATAAAAACATTGTGGAACTTCTTATTCAAAATAAGGCAAATATAAATAAAAGCTCATCAAACGGTTCTACACCTTTGCATGCGGCATGTGAGAAAGAAAGTATTGACATTGTGGATATTTTATTAAAAAAAGGTTCAAAAGTAGATGCACAAGAGAAAAGTGGAGAGACGCCTCTTCATATAGCATGTAGAAACGGAAATGAACAAATCGTAAAATTGTTAATTGACAGCAGTGCTTCGGTTGATTCGAAAACAAAGGATAAGATGAGGCCCTTTCATGAAGCTTGCAAAAACGGGCATCTCAATGTTGTGGATATTCTCTTAAAGAAGAATGTCAAATACGACAAGAAAAATAAAGATGGACGGACAGGGCTTTTTTTCAGTTGTGAAAACGGATACAATGATATAGTAAAGATAATACTAAATCGTAAGGCTGATTTAAATCTTACTGATAAAGACGGAGTTACTGCTCTTCATGCCGCTTGTATAAACAATCATCAAGACGTTGTTAACACTTTGCTCGAGAAAAAAGCGAATGTAAATTTAGCAGACGTTTGTGGTGAAACTCCTCTTTATAAATCATGCGACTACGGTAATATTGAAATAGTTAAGATATTGCTCCTAAATGGTGCAAATGTTAAGATATGTGGTACCTCTGGACTGTCTCCTGTAGCCATTGCAAAGAAAAAAGGGTTCAATAACATTGTTGTTCTATTGAATAATTAAAAAACTGATCAAAATCAATAAATAAGATAACAGTTAAAGAGATATAAAACAATTTGAATGTGAATATACATTTCAGATATCTTAATAACATTACGCACTAGGTGTTAATGCATAAATGTCTTTATTTGACACAATTTTATATTGTTTATATTACATTTGAAATTTGATATATTCGTTCAGTCAACACAAAAAAAATAATTAGGCTTGATATTTACAAATTCAAAATGTATGTAACAAAACTAAGTTTTTATTGGAATACCAAACATCCTTTACATGATTTGTTTCGTACTCAATTGTTGTAATATTTCTTATAAATGATTGCATAATAAATGAATCAAAGAATTACATTTTTTTTTCAATTTCGATAAATTGAATTTTATTTTATCTTGATTTAGAGAAATTAGATAGTTGGAGTAAATTTCAAGAATATAGCTTCCCAATGATAAAATATTATAAATCTGGAGAGCAACATTAAGTTTTCAACAAGTTTATAAACAATGCTATGTTGTCGAGCGCGAAAAACTCTAAAATAACGATACAAATTCTACCGTAACAAAAAATGTTTTGAAAAGATGCGATGGACTCCGATTATCATTCACTAGGTTTGGCAGTACTCCTGCCTTAGGTCGGTGGTTCACGCTGGGTACTCTGGTTTCCTCACCCAATGAAAACATGACCACCATAATATACCAGAGTGTGCTGAAAGTGGCGGAAAACATCAACAACCAATCAATTTTATAATATTTCATACAGCGACTTAACAAATAGTACACGAAGACAAAATAGTATGCAATGCCAAAAACAAACAATACAGAAAAAAACCGCCTGTTAATTATTGCTTCAAACTATAAACTATACAAATAAAATATATATGGGTGTTTTCCCAAAACGAAACAGAGGCAACACCGTTAAATTATAATCTTTGTAAACAATGTTTTGTCCCAGGTTAGAGTTGTCTTTTTGACACTCTTACTACATCTTTTTATTACTGCCTGTAACGTCTATGTTATATAGGCATCTACGTGTAAATATTGTATTTATTTTGTGTCATGGATCACACTTATTCTTTCAGTGTATGTTTACTTCTTTTTTCGAGTTTAGCCATTTCAATTAATATTTCACAGTGTGTCTTTGTATTATGTTGTAATGTTACACTACTGTCTAAGGTTAGGGTGACGGTTGGCGCCTGGTAAAACGTTTAAACCCACTGCATTGTTATGCACTTGTCCTACGCCAGGAGCCTGTTGTTCAGTGGTTGTCGTTTGTTGGTGTGGTTCATAAGTGTTTCTAGTTTCTCGTTTTTTTATATAGATTAGACAATAGGTTTTCCTGTTTGAATTATTCTTTTACACGAGTCATTTTTGGGCCCTTTAAAGCTTGTTGTTCGGTGTGAGCCAAGGCTCCATGATGAAGGCCGTACTTTGACCTATAATTGTTAACTTTTTATACTTTGTGACTTAGATGGAGAGTTATCTCATTGGTACTCATTCCACATCTTCGTATTTATAATGTAATTATCTGGGAGAAAAAATATACTTTTTATGGTCTCGCATTGAAGTCTTAAGTGTTCTGTTACCGACTTCGGCGTCAACAATTTGTTGTAGTTTATGATTAGGTCATTCCAAACGGAACACCATATTGTATGTCAGTGATATTTGTTATTCAGCTCAAGTAGCATTGGCCCATCTTATTTTCATAGAGATTATTATGCCTTTTCCCTTCAGTTATTGTCTTTTGGTTTAATTTTGATGTTAACTAGGTTAGTTTGAGGGGAACCACTAATGGTAAGTCAATGATATTAGGTAGTTGTTTCACATTCCCTATCCATGAAGTTTATTATGCCCCTGCCGTAGCGGAGGGGACATTAGGTTTTACCCTTGTCCGTCCGTACGTCACGTACGTAAGTCTGTACGTCCCAAAGTTGGTTTCCGTTCTCTAACTTTAGTTTGACACAACCAAATGTTATGAAACTTATACACAATGCTTACTACCAAAAAATACAAATCAAGTGTTAATTTTGGTGTCGTCACTTGAACTGTTCTAGGGTTACGCCCCTTTACAAATGGAAAAAATTGCTGAATTTTTCGTTTCCGTTCTAGATCTCTATCTTTAGTTTGCCTCAACCAAATGTTATGGAACTTATACAGAATGCTTATTACCACAAAATACAGTTCAAGTTTGAATTTTGGTGGTGTCACTTCAACCGTTTAGGAGTTATGCCCGTTTACAAATGGAAAATTTGCTGAATTTTTCGTTTCCGTTCTCTAACTTAAGTTAGCTTCAACCAAATGTTATGAAACTTATACACAATACTTATTACCACTAAACTCAGATTGAGTACAAATTTGGGTAGCATCACTTTTACTGTTCTTCAGTTATGTCCCTTTATAACTTTATATGATATGCAAGCGGGGGCATCATCTGTGTCCCATGGACACATTCCCAATTTATTTTGGCCAGTCGTTCCCTCAGTCATAATCTATTGACTTTGAAATTTTGACATAGTTGACATGTTAAAAGTTTGAGATTAGGTCAGTTTGAGGGGAATCACTAATTGTAAGTAATGATATTTTGTATGTAGTTGTACTAGTATTAACACGTCTCTTTTCCATTGAGATTGTGTGGCCTCACTTCTTCCGTCATGGTTCATTGACACTTGAATGTTTGCACATTTAACGTGATAAAATGTGTAATCATGTCAGTTTAAGGGGACCCACCTATGTAAAGTCAACGATATCTTGTATGCAGTTATATACGCATAGGAAGATGTCATTTCCATGAAGAACTGCTCCGTCAGTCATGGTTCATCGACTTCGAAAATTTAGCATAGCTTACATTTCATATAAATGCCATTTTTATTTCAACATTTGTATGATACTATCAGGTTAAGATCAAGGCAATCAGTAGTTTATTTTAATTCTTAACATGGAATCATTTCCACAATATATATTGGTGTAAACTTTAGTAAGCGTTTTTACCAATTAATGATGTTTTGTCCCCCGTGCAACAGGTTGCGGGTGACATAGACATACCGTTCGTCCGTCCGTCCGATCTTGTTTATGAATATCAATTATATGGTCATTTTTATAAATTTCCTGTTACAAGACATTGAATATTTCGAAAAACTAAGGCTTTTCTTATCCCAGGAAAAGATTACCTTAGCCGTATTTGGCACCACTTTTTGGAATTTTGGGTCCTCAATGCTCTTCAACTTTGTACTTGTTTGGCTTTATAACTATTTTGATCTGAGCGTCACTGATGAGTCTTATGTAGACGAAACGCGCGTCTGGCGTATTAAATTATAATCCTGGTACCTTTGATAACTATTTATATCAGCAATGTCTTGGACGAATTTGAAAATCATTGCCAATAAATTATTTGTAAAAGAGTTATGCTCCTTGGAAACATTAATTATATGTAAAATTGCATCCTTAGCGTTCTCATTTGTTCAATTCTTGCCAGACTTTTATGAAACTTATATCATAGGTTTATATCAGCAATGTCTTGGACGAGACTAAAAATCAGTCCTGATCAATTTTTTTTAAAAGAGTTATGCCCCTTGTTAACATTTATTATATGGCAAATTGCATCGTTAGCGCTCTCATTTGTTCAGTTCTTGTCAGATTATAATGAAAGTTATATCATAGGTTCATATTAGCAATGTTTGGAGGAGTTCGAAAATCAGTGCCAATGAATTATTTTCAAAAGAGTTATACCCCTTGGAAACATTAATTATATGGGGAATTGCATCGCTAGCTCTCTCATGTATAAAATTCATGCCATAATTTTATGAAACTTGAATCATAGGTTAATACCTATTCAGCAATGCCTTTGACGAGTTCGGAAATCAGTGCCGATCAAAAAATTCTAATAGTGTTGTGCCCCTTGTAAATATTAATGTTATGAAAAAATACCTTATGAGCGCTTTTATATGTACAATTCTTGCAAGATTTTCATGAAATTTATATTATAGGTTTTAATCATCAATGCCTTTATGACGAGTTCGAAAATCAGTGCAGATCAAATGTTTTTAAAAGAGTGATGCCCCTTGAAAATATTGATGGAAAATTGCATCGTTAACGCTCTCATAATTTCAATTCTTACAAGAATTTTATGAAACTTATATTATAGGTTTATATCAGCAATGTCTTTGACACTTTCGAAAAAAAGGTCTGATCAAATATTTTTAACAAGTTATGCCCTTTGGAAATATCAGTTTTAATGGAATCGCATTGCATTTGAAGCCTTCATTTCTCTAAGATATAAATCAAAATAAAAAGTCTTATGGAACAAACACATTTTTTTTTGTTATAATTGCCCGTGTACCTCGGATAAATATAATATGTGCAACGTGGGGGACATTGTAACTCTATTCTTTGCTCTATAAGTGTTTAATATTGAAACATAACGGTCATTGCAATCCGAGACCTCACACGCAAATATTGAATGTTATGAAACTAATACATCATGCTCATTACCACAAAACACAGATCGAGTTGGGATTTTTGTGACGTCACTTTTTACCGTTCTAGAGTTATGCTCCGTAACCGTTACAAAGGGAAAAATTACTGATATTTTCGTTTCCCTTCTCAAACTTTAGTTTGCCTCAACCAAATGTTATGAATCTGATACACAAAGCTTATTACCACAAAACACAGATCAAGTTTGAATTTTGGTGGCGTCATTTTTACCGTGCTAGAGTTATGCCACTTTACAAATGAAAAAATTGCTGAATTTTTCGATTACGTTCCACAACTTTAGTTTTACTCAACCAAATGTAATGAATCTAATACACAATGCTTATTACCACAAAACTCAAATCAAGTACAAAATTGGGAGGCGTGACTTGCGAGAGAGAGAGAGATACCGGTCACGCTATTGCTAATTCACGACGGGAATAAGCGTGAAATAATTGTCACTGGATAAAATACAGGCTGTAGTTAACCAATTAATCTTTTTTTTACAACACAACTTTAGACTTTATTTATGTAGATTAATTACATCAGTTATGTAAGTGAATACAAAAGGACGTGTAAGGAAGATTGGTAGGGAATACTTCACCGTTATGAGATGCTGTAAATGGTTGAACGAAATTGTAGGGACTTAAATAAAGAATAAGTGATGAGTTTGGCTCAATAAGTACATTATAACACAGTACATTTTATAATAAAGCGATGTGATATGATTACCAAAGAAATAACTAATTACAGGATTTCAAATGAGGTGGAAAAAATCAACAATTTAGTAAAATGAAAAAAAAAATAGAATAGAACAAGTTTAATTATAAAAACTTAAGGTAGGCAGCTCACTGATAAGCAAAACATCTATAACTGTACAATATAACA